GTAGGTCAGAGATATCTGTAGTAGCTTTCCTAGAAGGAAAACTCAGTCCCAAGAGAGCAAGGACAAGGGGACTGCTCCATTGCCTCAGGAGAGGCTCCTATGAAGCAAGTCCCAAGTGTTTGCCATGGAATTGTCCGATATACACAAACATCACAGGTAAGAAAAAGACATCAAAGTCAGGCTTTCCAGTGATGTTAACAGCACTGCGGTTGGGCTCCATGACCAGTGCCTCGATCTTGCTGACTACAGGCAACAATACTAAAGTAACATGCTGAAGACAACGGTATAACAGACTGCCTCTCAGCTTCCCTTTAAAATTAATTCCCGCTGGCCGCCAACAACCAAGGTCTTACCTGAAAAAACAAACAGAGATTGCTTGTACATTATTATCTCATATGTACTAACTGCTCACCATTCATTAGACTAGAAAACAAATGCAACAAAGAGAGATTACATGAGAAGCTGTCTCAGCAGCATCACAATTGCAGTGTTCTGATAGGAGTTTGATACAAATGAAAAGCTGCCATGTTAATCTTGCTGACCTTTATTCCAGGATTATGATCAATTGGAGGATTATGGCAGTACTTTCTCATTGAGGAGAAAAAGATTAGTTTGGGGGGATAATTTATTTTTGAGAAAAACACAGTTGTTTGCCAGCCTGCTAGTGCCAGTACCCAGGCAGCACTCTGCAAGAGATTACTGTTCACATGGTTTATTTCATTAACCTGTTTCAACAGGGCAGCATTAACCTCCTCAAATAGGTAATGTTGAGGGCCAAGGCAGAGTGATGTAAACAACTCAGGATGAGATTGCTGTTGAGAAATCAAGTGAAACTAACCCCAGCATTGTTGCAGCATTGTTGTTTCTATTTTCCAGACATAGTGGGAACCTTAAGGTTTGTGAAATGCTGAAAAAAGAGGAAGCAGTGTTGACTCGAGAACAGAGCTGTTCTTGTGGTTACAAGTGTTAGGGAGGCGTCTGCAAACAAGGTTCAGCGTTCAGTTTTGCCACAGATTTCCACTAAAGTCACAGCCCGTTGACTAGTTCTTCTGCAGCACAATCCCCGTTCTGGAAAATGCAAGACACAATGTTTTCTTTGGTTTTGGCTACATAGAAATACATTTCCATGTCATCAGAGGCAGAGGGTGAAAGCATTGCCTTGGTGTTAAGGGCCTTTACGAGGGTCGAGGCTCACCTCTTCAGGTGGAGGAGATGAGGGCTGACAAGGGTTATGTAACCACATCAAACACAAGGGAAGAAGGAAATTACAAAAGCAAGTAGAGGCATGGGAGGAAGGGTGGGTATAGGGCATAAATGGAGGACCTGAGAGTGGGGTTAATTCTTTAGGTGCTCCAGGATGGAGCTAGTATGTATCAAGGAGTACCTCCTGGCAGCTAGGTGAGGATGGTGGGCTCCAGGGTAGGACCTGGAAGAAAGATAAGGCTGGACTCTTGCCTGTCTGATGGAATGAAAGTGCAAACATTTAATGAAAAAGCACTCTGCAGAGGCTGGAGTACAGGGCCTAACTTGAGCTCAAATATTGGATTTATACAAGAGTTACCTGCTGAGTTTAGTTGCTTGTCAGCTGACTGTGAGGCAGTAGACTGAGGCAGTAGACAGCTCTTCTTCCAACCTGGACGGCCCCTCTATGGGGAGGGTACCAGCCTCCCTTGTATACTTTGAAAGGACATCTGGAGTGGGAGGAACAGGAGAGGGGCTACTTGCATGGACTCCACTAACATAATTTGTGAAATTCCTGTGGGGAGGAAGGCCTAACTTTGCTTAGTCTGAGAGCTGTTAAGGACAGGTATAACAGTGTCCCAAATGAGAAACTTCTGACCAGTTATGAGAAAACTAATGCAAATAGATTTATGCCAAGATGAACTAAGTCTTTTTTTTTAATTTGATAAAGTGCTTTTGCCCCATGTTGATTCTATTAAAAAATTACTTATGCTTTTTGTTTTGTGCCCCCCAAGCCTCCCTCCTGCTGATCTTGCTTCCTTGCTTTGAGTTGGACAGCTGCTTCTCTTGCTATGCTGATCCTTTTGATGTCCCTGTAAACTTTCACACTTTCTAGTTGTTTGAATGACTATAGTCTGTATTGTTTATGACAAGGGGATCTTTCCAGCTTCTGAAATCTATTTTGACCTCCTAATAGTACTGGCCTTTCACCCAGTGCTGCTCTGTGGTGAGCTGATATGCCACAGGCTTGCCTGTGCTAAGAGCTTGTGCAGAAGTGCTGCTGAAAATTGCAGTTGCCCTGACCAAAGCTAAATGTT